AGATGGTCACGGTCAACACGAGGGAGAGAGGTGGTAACCTCGGAGCTAGGGATTTTGCTCGAGAGTATTGAGACGGTTAAAGTAGATATTGCGGGTAAAGCGGGTAATCGACATTTGTGTTGATTCAGGTGTGTAAATGGTTGTATGGATTATTGTACCTTTATTGTATTCCTAAACAGGTGTATATGTATGTTTAATTACAGTTACTTAACTACATCAGCACGTGTCTGCGTTGGACTGCTACCTAACCTCCAAATTCCTCTTGACTCTTAAGACTCTGACTTCGAGACTTACAATATATATATGTATGTATGTATGTATGTGTATGTATGCATATATAGAAAATGTTTATAAATAAACTAACCTGTACATCCAGCCTTTCTTGAAGAAAACTCTACGTTTCGAAAGAGGCAAATGTTTGGCGTCATATTTCCGTCCCATTGTGTGGACGACACACAAACTCAAACTAATACACTAAAAAAACTAAATATATATTATAAATGTATATTATATGTCAGATTTTACAACGATACGTTGTATACGCTGCTTCGTTGTTATGCGTATGAACGTGTATAGCACCGCGCGACATGAGTGAGGAGTCGCGCAGTAGATCATATCTCTACAAAAATTACCTTTTTAAAAAAAGTAAGAAAAGGTGCTAAGTCCGCGTAAAAACCGTTGTGTTTGCAAAACAATGGTTATAACCCTCAAAAACTATAAAAAAAATCTATTTCAAAAATAGTACTATTTCAATCTATAAAATTATTTTAATCTACAAAATAGTTATTTTAATACATACACCTTACTTACCTTACAAAAGTAATTATATCTATACCTTACAAAAATAATGATATCAATAAAATTGTGCTAAGTAAAAATAAAAGTTTATAAAAATAAATCAAAAAATTGTATCAAATAAGTTACAAATATAATGATATCAATAGAATTGTGCTAAGTAAAAATAAAAGTTTATAAAAATAAATCAAAAAACTGTATCAAATAAGTTACAAAATATCATCAATAAAAAAATAAAAATTAAAAAAATTAAAAAAAATATATAGAAATTAAAAATTAAAAAAAAAAAAATAAACAATTTTTTTAAATTAAAAAATTAAAAAAACTTAGCACTGCGTAATTAAACAAACAATATGTTAAAATTAATGTATTTCTTTGCTTGAATGTCCTTCAATTAAAGTTTAGCAGTGCTAAGTTTTTTTAATTTATTAATTTAAAAAAAATTTTTTCATTTTTTATTTTTTTTAATTTTTAATTTCTATATATTTTTAAAATTTTTTAAATTTTTATTTTTTAATTTTTTATTTTTTTAATTATTGCAAATTTTTAATATTATTTTTTGTAGGATGTTGGAAATTAAAAAATTATTTTATATAACCTTTTTGGTTAATTAAAAATAAAATTAAAATATTTTAAAATTTTTATTTTTACTTAGTAATATTTATCTAAAAAATGAAACACATGATATCTAACATTTTATTATGTAAAAAATTAAACACATAATGTCTAATTTTTTATTAAAATATTATTATGTTTTTATCTTCAAATAGCACAACCTTTCATTATTATTTTTTGTTTGGATTTGATGATATTTTGAAACTTATTTGATACAGTTTTTTGATTTATTTTTATAAACTTTTATTTTTACTTAGCACAATTTTATTGATATCATTATATTTGTAATTTATTTGATACAATTTTTTGATTTATTTTTATAAACTTTTATTTTTACTTAGCACAATTTTATTGATATTATTATTTTTGTAAAGTATAGATATCATTACTTTTGTAAGGTAAGTAAGATGTATCTAATAAAATAATTATTTTGTAGATAAAAATAATTTTATAGATTGAAATGGTACTAATTTTAAGTCCGGTAAGAGTGTGAGTGACAGGTGTGTGAAAGCGTGGCAGGTATTTGTGAGGAAAGAATGAGAAAAAGGGCGAGGAGATTTAGAGGTAGTGAGTGAGAAAGTGCAGAAAAAAGTGGAGGATTGATAGAAAGGATAGGAGAAGTAAAAGAGTAAAGAGATAGGAAAATAGAAAGTAGGAAAAGGTGAGAGAAATAGGTAGAGAGTGACACGTGGAAGGGAGTAGGTGTAAGGAGTAAGTGTAGGTAGAGCAAAGGATAGGGAATTCACTAGCGAGTTGGAGCATAGAGGAGGAGAAACAAAGTAAGGAAAATGATAAGATAAAAATGGATAAGGAAGAAAATAATATAAGTGAAGAGACTAATAGAGATAGGATGATAGAGGAAGGGGGAAAAAAGGGAGATGAGGAGGAAATGAAAAAGAAGAGGAAAGTAGATTAGTTAGCGAAAGAGAGGAGAAGTAGTATGGGATGTATAGATGAATTTTTGAAAAGGAAAAGAGAGGAAGGAGGAGAAGAGGATAAGGATGAAGAAGAAAGAGGACTAAGGAGGAGTAAAAAGACAGAAAGGCTGAATAGAGAAGTAGGGGGGATAGAAAAGGAGGAGTTGAAAAGGATGATGGAGGAGATAGAAGAGAAGATTACAGAGAGGGTAGGTGAGAAATTGAGGAAATTGAAGATAGAAATTTGGAAAAAGGAGGGGGAATGGAGAGAAGAAAGAAGAGAAATGAGAAAAAAGATAGAAAGCTTGGAGAAAAAAGTGATAGATTTGGAAGCAAGAGTAGAGGAAAGAGAAAGAAAGGGGAGTGAAGGAGGGAGTAAGGAAATAAATGAGACAATAATGGGGAAGATGAAAAACATAGGAAAGAAATTAGAATGGAAAGAGAGAGAAGAAAGAAGAAATAACATAGTAATAAAAAGAATGGAAGAAGAAAAGGAAGATATAAAAAAAGAGTGGAGAAAATAATGAAAGAGATAGGAGCGAAAACGGAGATCAAATGGATAAGAAAATTGAAAGGAAAGGAGGGAAAGGAAGGAGAATAGGTGGTAGTAAAACTAGAAAGCAGAGAACAAAAAAGACAGGTAATGGAAAGAAAGAAGATATTAAGAGGAAGGAGGGTGAGGATAGAGGATGACTTAACATGGGAAGAAAGAAAGATGAAATGGAGACTAATGGAGATTGCGGAAGAAGAAAAGAGGAAAGAAAACAAGGTATGGACAAGCTACGGAAGGATTAAAATCAATAACGCCTGGTGGAGATGGGAAGAGGAAGAAGAGGTGCTTAAAAACTGGAAAGGAGAAATTAGAGAAGGAATAGAGAAAATGGAGGTGGACGAAGGGGGTGTGAAGACAGGAATGGAGGAAAAAAGGGCTAGAAGAGGGGAGGAGAAAAAAGAAGGAAAGGAGAAGGGGTAATAAGAAGAGGAGAGGAGACGGAGACAGGAATGAGAAAGGAACAGGAGAGAAAGGGAAAAGGAGAAGAAATAGGAGAAGAATGGAAAATAGGTTTCTGGAATGTGGCAGGGCTGAAAAACAACCCTCTCGTTGTCCGCCACCTTGTCGTGGTGAGAGGGCTCACCCTTCGCAAGAGGATAGTCTTGCGAGGGGTGCCAAGAGCGGATAGTACCTTCCGAGGTACACTGCCCCCGGTCTCGGGAGCATGCCCTCCGTTTCTGGGGGCTCTCCTCGGGGTGTGGAAGATTTCCACATCCCGGGGAGACGGGGCCCACCTCCCCGTTAGAGCTTCGGCTCGTATGTGGTAAGGGATGGCGACCCGGAATTCAAACGCCCGGTGGCATGGCACCGTTAGGTGAAGGGACTGCACGGCGCTTCCCTTCCCACCATGCTCTGTGGCCCGGCATGTCGGTCGGGTAGGCGGCTTCCGCCGCCCGGGGTTTTTTTTCCCTCCCCTCCGTCAAGGGGGGGGCCTGTTTCGGGGTCACACCTGGGGGGGTGGGATCGGCGGGGGCCGCATCGGAGGTGCCGCGCGCGATCACCCGAAGGGCTTTGCCCGGAGGGTTTCCCGAGGGGCTTTGCCCGGAGAGGGTCGCGCCGGCGGAGGGGCTGGCACAGTTACCCGAGGGGCTTTGCCCGGAGGGTTGTCCCGAGGGGCTTCGCCCGGAGGGGGCTGTGCTGGTCGGTCCTCGGGGCCCGCTCGCGGAGCGGTTCCCGAGGACAGGGAGGTGCCTCAGGGTGCTGGTTGGGGGTCTCCAGGCTGGGTAGCCTGGGTCCCCGTCCCAGCGTCCCTGGGGTAGGCCGCACCCAGGCCGCTCGGACGTTTCCGAGGCGGGGCTGGGTCGGCGGAGACGGCCACGCGTGGTCACCCAAGGGGCGTAGCCCGGAGGGTTTTCCCAAGGGGCACTGCCCGGAGGGGACCACGCGGGTCGGCCGTCGAGGCCGCTCGGACATATTCCGAGGCGGGGCTCGACGGCGAGAGGGAGGTCACAGGGTGCTGGTCGGAGAGCTTGCTCTCGTCCCAGTGTCCCTGTGGCCTGCCATTCTCGGGCCGCTCGGACGTTTCCGAATCCGGGCCGAGGATGGCGGCGAAGGCGCGCCGCGGTTACCCAAGGGGCATAGCCCGGAGGGGTTACCCGAGGGGCATAGCCCGGAGGGTGCCGCGGCCGCCCTGCCCCAGGGCCGCTCGGACGTTTCCGAGGCGGGGCCTGGGGCGAGAGTGGATATCTCCGGTCGGTCGGGACCGTTTCCTCTTCCGAACCGGCCGACCGGAGAGGCGCCCACCCCTCGTCGAAAGTCTTCGACGAGGGTGGACACACTATGCTGGTCGCCACGGTGTGTAGGGCAGGGCCGGGGAGCGGCGACCCTGCCCAAAGCGTTCGTGGGGCCCCCCGGGTGGCGCCGCCCGCTGCGGTACCCGCGTTGTCGGAGGCGCGGGACCCCTGAAAGCCCGTGTGGGCGTCAAATCCCACACGGGTGTGTAAGGGGCTCGGAGTCTGGCCGGGGTGCGGTATCCCCCCGGCCTAAGACATATGTCTCCTCCCCGGGGGAACTTGGGGCCCGGCCTTGGGGTGTGGCCGGTCATGTTTCGGGGCACCCCTTGGCCGGTGGGGGTATACCCTGGGGGACGGAGCCGCAGCGGGAACGTGGGATTCACAGAAATGGAAGAATATAACACATCAAACAAAAATCAAAATGAAGGTGAGAATACAAACTCTCACATGGAGGGGCGGATTACGCGGGCCGGGATTGTGGCTACCCTGGAGGAAGTCACAGTAGACCAGGACCCCTGCACGATGGCGAGAGCGATCTCTAATGCTGCAATCGCTGCTGCTGCATCAAAAAGAGAGCTCTCTATAAGGGTCACGAGATGCGACTCGCAGCTGAGCCTGACCTCATCTGAGGAATCTTGCATAGGGGCGAGGACAAGAGGGAGAACAGGCGTGTCACCAGCCTCAGGAACGACGGCGGGCAGATCAAGAAGCCCCTCTAGAATAAGGAAAACGGGAAAGGAGATGCCCTCGGAGTGCAGCAGCCTCGACCTAGAATGGGATCAAGGCAGCGTAAGCACAGAGAGGGCGGAAGTGCCCTTTGTCCGCGCGATTAATAGAAAGATCGACGCGGAGATAGAGAAGCAAGGAGGGATACCACAGGCTGCAGAACTTCTGCAATCAACGGAGGAACCTCAATACGAAAGCGGAAGCCAGGAGGATGAAGATGGAATCCCCATCATTAGAGAAAAGAGAGGGAGAGGTCGCCCCGAAACAACCGGGGCATACAGAAAGAAACAAGAGGAGCAGGCCCAAAAAGAGAAGGAAAAGGCCCTGCAAAAAGAGAGGGAGATCCTCGTTTCATCGATAAAGCCGGGTTTAACCAAGTCCTATAAAGAATTCCTTGGCAGTATTCAGGACAAGGAAGAGGAGCTCCGGCAGGCCCCAATTGCAGACCTTGAGGCGTTGGTGTCGGAAAGATGCACCGACATATACAAGGTCGCGATGAACTCGGGCAACCTGAAGGGCGGATTCACAAAGGCTGCGAAGGAGGCTGCTGCAGACATGTGCGCCGCCGCGACTGTGCTCGCAGTGAAAGCGCAGAATCCCCAAGAAACAGGGATAGAAGAGGAAATAAGGAGAATGCGACACGAGATGCATCTTCTTAGGATGGAGAACGCGGAACTCCGAAAGACCGTCGAGAAACTCAAACGGACCAATAGGAACCGCGAGGAAGCCAGAAAACTGGCAGAGGAGCCAAGGGAGACTTCCCTCGTTAGGGAGAAAAAAAGGAGAACAGAGAGGTGGATAAAGGAGACATCACCTCTACCAGGAGATGGGGGATTCCCGAGCACCGAAGCGCTGGGAAATCCACTTCCACCCCAAGATAGGGAGTCCCCAAGTAATAGGGAAAGAAGGACTCAGGGTGAGGCGCATCCACCCGAAGATGGGGCCTCCCCAGGAGTCCACAAGGAGGAGATAATGGAGTGGAGGTCCGAAATCTTCGGAAAGGAGGAGTTCCCCCCGCTCGGGAAAGGAAAGAAGAAGACGGGGAACAAACCAAGCTCGGATGCCCCCCCTCAACGAAAAGGAAGGATAGTGGATATCACGGACCAAGATGACAAGGAGGGACACGAGGAGAGGCACAGACAGGAGTCCCTCATAGCGATGATGGAGGGCATCTGTGAAAGGATCATGGATCGGAGAATGGGGAACCCGGTCCCCACCTTTTCACAGAGGAAGGAGGCCGAAAGGGCGAAAGTGGAGAGGAATGGAAGGGGCAGCAAGGTGAACCCACCTGCCCCACCAAAGATGCAAATGAGGTCGGCAACGAGGGTGAATGGTCCATCGGCAACAACCCTGAACCCGCCAGCGAGACAAGGATTGCCAAGGATCAAGGCGATTGAAAAAGTCTCGATCAAGATCCCCCTGCAAAAAAGAACAGCAGGGGGAAGGAAGGAAATGGGAAACAAAAACCCCAATCCCAATCCCAATCCTCAAAAGACCGCTCCAAGATCGGCACAACCACAACCGCAAACAGCGTGGACCACGGTTGTGTCGAGGAAAACGGCGAAGAGGGAAAGGGAGAAAGAAAGAAAGGAGACGACGCAGCAGCAATTGCAGCAGCAGCAGCGAAAAGCCCCACCTACTACACCCCAAACAAAGGGGCAACGGACGGGACCCCAGAAGAAGAGGAGAGAACCCAGGACGGCCGCAGTCACCATAACATGCCCCCCTGGCGAATATGAGGCGACGATGGCTGAGGCTCGTAAGAAAATGGAGAGCCTTGAGAGCCTCGGCATCAAAGGAGGAGTTAAAATCAGGAGAGCGGTGACTGGTGCTCTAGTGTATGAGATTCCCGGAGAGGGTGGTAACGAGCTCGCGGACAAATTAGCCCTCGGGCTCAAACGTGCCCTCTCCGGGAAAGAGGGGGTGAGGGTACAGCGGCCAACAAAAACGGCAGAACTCAGGCTAAGAGGGCTCGATGAAGCCGTCACCCTCTCAGAGATCCGGGAAGCAATCTCCAAAAGTGGAAACTGCGAGGAGGAAGAGATCAACGTGGGGGAAGTTAAAAGAGCGCCCAACGGCATAAAGATGGTGTGGGCCCGTTGCCCCCTTAGAACAGCAAACACCATTGCCCAAAAGTCCCATATTCAGATAGGGTGGGCAATGGTCAGAGTGGAGTTATTAAGCAATCGCCCCCTCCAGTGCTATAAATGCCTGGAGGGAAGCCACGTAAGGGCCAGGTGCCCAAACAAGGCGGACCGCAGCGGTAGATGCTACCGCTGCGGGGAGGAAGGGCACAGAGCCAGCGGATGCGAAGCCCCGGTGCACTGCGCGGTGTGCGGGGACAAAAACCTCCCTGCCAATCACAGAACGGGGGGGAAGTCCTGCACACCGGTGCAGAAAGGAAGAAGGGGTGTCCCATTAAGCAAGGTGGTGGGAACCCCTAAAGGAGCCGGGGCTGCGCAAATGAAGTGGAGCCTGTGCGGAGTGTCTCTCCCCCTCAAACCGGGGAGGGACCCTTGGAGCAGAGGCTCCCTAGAGCTAAAGGAGGAAGAAAGCTCGCGGAAGAAACGACCCCCTCCGGAAACCAGGGCGCTGGCAAGAGACAGCGCCTTAGGGAAAATCTGGAGGGGGGAAACGCCGGCACCATGGAGGTGTCGGAAGAAGGAGAAGTGTCTAAAATGATTGATGTTGGCCAATAAAATACTTCAGGCCAACATCAATCACGCGAGGGAGGCCCAGGATCTCTTCGTCCACACCATGGCGGAGAGATCCTGTGGCCTAGGTATCGTGGCGGAGCCGTACAGGGTGCCCAACAATAATAAAAATTGGGTACAGAGCTCTGACGGCCTCGCCACGATTACAAGAAGGAACACCCCCGACTCCCCTCCCCTAGATTTAATTAGGGCAGAAAAGGGGATTGTGTCAACTTCCTGGGGGCCCATTATCGTAATAGGGGTATACCTCCCGCCGAGTCTGGATAACAGTGAGTTCGGCGGGAGGTTGAGGATCCTAGAAAGGGAGGTCGCCAGTCATCACCCCAAAACAGTAATGGTTGCGGGGGACTTCAACGCCAAGTCAACGGCGTGGGGTTCCCCGCGAACCGACTGGAGGGGTGATGAAGTGGAGGAGTGGGCGACGCGATGCGACCTGGCGCTCCTAAACGAGGGGAGCGAGAGGACATGTGTACGCCGGCAGGGTGGGTCAATTGTGGACCTCACATGGGTGACCCGCCCTGCGGCAAGGATGGTCAAAGGGTGGAGGGTGGCGGCGGAGATTGAGACGTTATCAGACCATAGATACATAGAAATCTCCGTTGCCATCACCACAAAGGAGGTCGCAGAGCGTCGCCTACAAAGAGAGGCGGGCTCCCGGAGATGGGCTCTCAGGAAGCTGGACACAGATATGTTCATGGCGGCAATTAATGCCGCCATGATAGGGAGGGAACAGGGGACCGGGGACCTAGAGGAGCATAGGGCATGGCTGACAAACGTCATAATTCAGGCGTGCGACGTAGCCATGCCCAAGGTCAAAACCCGGTCCCCGAAACACGCTTACTGGTGGTCGGAGGACATTGCCGAGTTAAGGCGGTCCTCCGACCACGCTAGAAGAAACGTGAAGAGGAAGACAAGGTACGCGCTGTCGGACCCTGAAGGATTGGAGGACGCGTGGGATGCGTATAGAGAGAGAAGAAACGCCCTACGCGCCTCCATCCGACAGGCGAAAGCGAGGGCCTGGGAAGAGTTAATCTCCTCCCTGGATGAGGACCCGTGGGGCCGTCCCTACAGGATAGTTTTGAATAAACTAAGAGGGGGGACGGCACCACTAACGGAGTCATTGGACCCTCATCTCGTTAAAAACATCATAGGGGTCCTGTTCCCCCGGGTGTCGGGCACACAAAGCCCGATACAGGCGGGGGAGCAGGACTGGGACGAGTCAGAGATGGGGGTCACGGGAGGAGAAATCCGGGATGCCGTCAAAAGGATCAAAAAGGGGAAAGCCCCAGGTCCAGACGGCATCCACGGAAGAGTATGGGCCCTTGCCTTCAAGGAGATGGTCGAGCCCATGAGGCACCTGTACAACGGGTGCCTCAAGGAGGGCTCCTTCCCCCAGGAGTGGAAGAGGGCGTCGATAGTCCTAATCCCAAAGGAAGGGAAACCTAGGGATTCGCCCTCGGCGTACAGGCCGATATGCCTGTTGGACGAGGCGGGAAAGATTCTGGAAAGAATCATCGCTGCCCGCCTCGTCCATCATCTGTCCCGGGATGGTCCGAATTTAGACGAAAGACAATACGGCTTTCGGGCCGGGCGGTCAACCGTAGACGCAATCCTGCGTGTCCGCTCGGTCTCGGAAGCCGTTGTGAGGGAAGGCGGGGTGTTGTTGGCGGTTTCGTTAGATATTTCGAACGCCTTCAACACCCTGCCATGGCACCGGGTGGGGGACGCCCTGAAATATCACAGGATTCCCCCCTACCTGGTGTCCATTATATCGGACTATTTCCGGGACAGAAGTCTGGTCTATGTAGACCAGAACGCCGAGGAGCGCAGGGTCGAGGTTTCGTGCGGGGTTCCACAGGGGTCAGTTCTGGGCCCCCTTATGTGGAACCTCGCCTATGATACGACCCTGAGGACTGCCCTTCCCCCTGGCTGTGACGTCGTCTGCTATGCAGATGACACGCTAGTCATGGCCGGGGGGGACTCCTGGGAGGAAGCGACAGCGCGTGCTAATATTGCGGTGGCGCGTGTCGTGCGCACAATAGAGGGGATTGGGCTGAAGGTGGCGCCCCAAAAGATGGAAGCCGTCTTTTTCCATAAAAAAAGAGGGGCGCCTCCTGAAGCCTAAATATTGGTAGGAAACACCCCCGTAAAGGTGGGGACCCGGATCAAATACCTGGGTCTCCACCTGGATGGCAAGTGGGCCTTCGGCGAGCACTTCCGCCAATTGACCCCGAGGGTAAACAAGGCAGCGATGGCGCTATGCCGACTGCTGCCAAACCTCGGGGGACCGGACGGAGGGGTTCGCCGATTGTACGCCGGAACCATACACTCTATGATCATGTACGGGGCCCCCGTGTGGGCGGAAAAAGTGGAGGCCACCCGCAGGATAAAAGATGCGCTGCATCAATTGCAAAGGCGGGTGGCCAACCGAATCTGCCGGGGGTTCCGTACCGTAAGCTGGACGGCCGTGGGGGTACTCTCAGGAGTGCTCCCTATAGAATTACTAGCCCGCATGTACGCCGAAGTATACAGGCGTACACGCGGGCTACAAAGGCAGGGAACGGCCGTCACAGCTGGTGTCCGGCGTGCATTGAGGACCCACACCCGACGGCAATTAATAGAAAGCTGGTCCGGCATGTTGCAAAACCCGCAGCTGCCGGGGCAGTGGACCGTCGGGGCCATCCGGCCCTGCCTGGAACAGTGGCTGGGCAGGGCCGAGGGGGGTGTTACCTACCGAATGACGCAGGTGCTCACCGGGCATGGATGCTTCGGTGAGTACCTGTGTCGCATCAAGAAGGAGCGCACGACACGCTGCCACCATTGCAGCAATAGGAGGGATACCGCCGGCCACACGCTCCAAGAGTGTGTGGCCTGGACGGAGGAGAGGGAAGAACTGAAGGCGAGTATCGGAGGAGGGGACCTCTCTCTACCATCTGTGGTAAGACAGATGGTGGAGAGAGAAGAAGTATGGAAGGCATTCTCCTCCTTCTGTGAGAGAGTGCTCTTACAGAAGGAGGAGGCAGAGAGAGAGAGGGAGAGGGCTGGGAGAGATGCCTCTCAGCCCTCGGATGAAGACGAGGACGGAGGCAGCAATCCTGGAGATGGGGGCGGGCCCCCCCTCTCCCGCCGTTGGCGGGTTCGCCCGTCCGTGGCGGGGGTGGGGGGAGATGCGCCCTCAGGAGGGGAGACAGAAATGGGCGCGGGGACGGGCCCTCTCTTTTCCCGCCGTCGGCGAGCTCGCTCGTTTGTGGCGGCGGGAATCGGGGGGGGGGCGCGTCCTCGGAGGAAGGGGAGGAGACAGAAATAGGCGGGGGGGCGGGCCCCCTCTTTTCCCGCCATCGGCGAGCTTGCTCGTCTGTGGTGGCGGGAATCGGGGGGGGCGCGCCCCTGGTGGAAGTAGAGATGACAGGAGTGGGGACGGGCCCCCTCTTTTCCCGCCATCGGCGAGTTCGCTCGTCTGTGGTGGCGGGAACCGGGGGGGGCTCGCCCTCAGCGATGCAAGAGGCAGTCGCGGAGAAGGGGGTGGGCCCTCTCTTTCCCCGCCATTGGGGAGATCACTCTCCCGTGGTGGCGGGGGGCGGGGAGGGTCCGCCATCTTGACACCCGCGCCGTATGACGCGGGGTGAGGTTGCCGGGGGGGGGTCGGGGACAATTAAGTCCATGGACTCCCCCCCTAAGACCTCTCGAGAATCGGGGGCGTGGGTGCGCCGCCTCGCCTAGGCGGGGTGGGCGCGGCCACGCCCCCGAACGGGAAATCCCCCTGATTGCGGCCGAATCCCGACTCCCAAGGGAGCGGAAGGAGCCGTAATCGGGGGGACCGAGGGGGGGCCACGCGTCTCTCGGGACGCCTGGGCCCCCCTCTATGACGGAGACGTGACGCGCGGGGCCCTCTCACCGGGAGCCACAAGGCACCGGTGGGAGGGCAACGCCGTCCACGGAGGGGGTTTCTCTCCTTCTGAGAGGAACTCCCTGGAGAGGGCCTCCGGGGCGAATGCCGAATCCCCATTCCCTTTGGGAGGGCGAGGGAGCACCGCTCCGGAGGCGGGGGGTGGCGGCTCGAGCGGGACACTCGAGCCGTGACCCCGCCCCCCAAACTCTTTGGGAGGGCGCGACGTAGGGTCGATACCGCCCTGCGTCGCAACCGCGAGGACCCCCGCACGATGCAATCCGCGGGGGGGGAGAGTGCCGCTGAAGGCGGCACTCTCCCAAGGAGGGATTAGGCGGGGGGGCGGCCAGTCGGCATGGGAAACCAGCATCCTGGCCGTTCCCCATTAACGCCCGTGAAGGTATCCGCAGTGGGTTTAGTGAGGTATGTCTTGGGCCCCCTGACCGATCCACACGTGGATCGGCCAAGGGGAACAAGAAGTCCCACATAACCATTCTGGCCTCTTCCCGGAGGCCGGAGGTATCTATGAGGATTCCCACTGCGAAAAAAAAAAAAAAAAAAAAAAGAAATTTTGGAAGGAAATAGAAGATTGGGAGGTGGTGGTAATGATGGAAACATGGATAGAGGAAAGAGGGTGGGAGGCGATTAAAAAGTTACCGAAAGGATATAGATGGGAGAAGCAAGAAGCAAAGAAGAGAAAGAAGAAGGGAAGACCGATGGGGGGGAATGATCATGGGGGTAAAGGAGGAGAGGGGGAAGATCAAGGTATCAGGAATTGGAGAAAAGGGGGAGGGAATAATGATGGCGGATATAGAAGTGGGAAGAGAGAAGTGGAGGGTAATAGGCATATACATTAACGGGGACATGGAGAGAAAAATGGATGAAATAAAGGAATGGATGGAGGAGAAAGAAGAAAATAAATGGACGATCTTAGGAGGAGATTTCAACGCAAGGACAGGTAGAAGGCGGGGAGTGATAGGAGGAGAGGAGGAAGAGGAAAGAAGATCGAAGGACAAGAAAGTTAATGAGGAGGGGAAGAAGCTGATAAAAGAGCTGGAAGAGGTGGGATGGGGAATTTTTAA